TTGTCTTGCTTCTTTTGACCCTTTACATTGCCACTCCTAATTTCTTTCTTCCTATTACATTTTCTTTGTGACCATCTTACTTAGATACCATCCTACCGTCTTTCTCTAAAGATCATTTCCTAAAACTTTTTTGTTAAAAAAAATCACAGTTGTTTCTTCTTGTTTCTTGCCAATAATATAGATTTTTGAGAAGGAGCTGCCTTTTATTGAGAACTTACAGTGTGCCAGATACTCTGTGTTTATTATCTCATTTAATCTCCATATTGATCCTATAAGGTAGATATTATCCCTGTTTTACAAATGAGAAGATTGAGATTCACAGAGGCTAATTAACTTGCCCAAGGTTACAAGTTGAGAAGTTGCAGAGTGAAAGATTTTTAACTGAAACCTCTCTATCTTGTTCTCTTCTATAAAATGAAGTTGAAATTTTTTTTGTTGGCTTTTGACAAACTCTTGATTTACCTAAGATAAAATCCTGGCATAAATAACAGAAAAAGATAATGCTGAAGACATTTTAATTGTAGCTTTTATTTTTCCTTTTTCTTAAATGGGATATTGTCCTCTTTGGATAACTCTGGAGTAACCCATTACCCATTGCCGTCGAGTCAATTCTGACTCATAGTGACCGTATAGGACAGAGTAGAACTGTCCCATAGAGTTTCCCAAGGCTATAATCTTTACGGGAGCAGACTGTCCACATCTTTCTCCTGCAGAATGGCTGGTGGGTTCGAACTGCTAACCTTTTGATTAGCAGCTGAGCACTTTAACCACTGCGCATCAGGGCTCCTTCAGATCTGGGGTTTATAACCTAGTTGTTTGTGTGAATCAAGGCTACTATGTAGGGTTGTACAAGTTATAGTTTATGTGAATGGTGCCTCTTGAAGTTGTGCAGCCTACAGCTTGCATAGTGTATGTTGGGGACCTGATGTAACACTAAAGTATTAATACTTCACAGAAAGTAGTCTTTTTTTCTCTCAGCTGCAAAGATATCCTCCATAGTTGTTCTCCCAAGACTTCAGCATTTTGTACTGTCTTTCACAGGGGAGGCTTCAAACTTTTTGCTTTTGTATCCCCCTAAATGACAGTTGTAAAAACTGTGAAACTCCTTGAACGTATTTTTGATTGACATTTTAAATTTTTCATCAAAAGGTAAACAGTTGTATTTATGTAATTTTCAACATATTATGCATGTTGACATTATAAAGCGAAGGTGTTATATTACCCTTAAATGTGTCAAGTAAAATGATACCTACCCTCATCCTTTTAAAAAATATACAGATAAGCCTTTCTTTTAACATTTGGAAACTTTACATTTTCTCTTTTTCTTCTTGAAGGCATATCCTCCCACCCAGAATGTAATAATATGTTCTTAAATTAGAAATTCTTTTTTCACTCAATCATACTTCTCTGCCACAATAATACTGTATAAATTAATATTGTTCTGTTTTCTATGACTTTAAGTCTCTAAGCATTAATTTTTTTTTCTTCTGGATGAAGTTATCATTATAATTATTATGAGTATATAGTTGGTCGAAACAACATATATATATCATGAATTTTGATATTATTAATGTGGAAAGTGCATTTTTATTGGAAATGTGTCTTTCAGTGGGATAAATGGGCTCTCCCCGCTGCCCCCCATTCCTTTGTCCCAGCTGAGCAGGATTCATTTTTAGAATGAGGTAGGGATTAAATAAATTTTACTTCTAGTTTTCGTTTTTATACATAGAATTGTTGAGAAATTTTGTTCACATAAAGTAGATGAGAATGGTATTGGAAGGATTTTACTAAAGCAATATTGTTCTGGTTTTTCTGAGTTATATGTCAGAAGTTTTTGTTGTTGTTTGTTAAATTTTATTTTCTAGTTTTTAGTGTTTTCCAGCTTCTAGATTGTTGGTAGCTTTATTATTACTTTTGTATAAACAACAACCAATAAACTCGTTGCTGTCGAGTCCATTCCAACTCATTGCGACCCTGTAGGACGCGGTAGAATTGCCGCATAGGGTTTCCAAGGAGCTCCTGCTGAATTTGAACTGCTGACCTTTGGTTAGCAGCTATAGCTCTTAACCACTACGCCACCAGGGTTTCCTGCTTTCATATAGCGGTTTACAAACTACAGATACCTTTAACATTTATTATCTCCATTGATCATCACATGAGGCAGATGTACCATATCTCATCTTCATTTTATAGATGAAGAAATTGAGGCTTAGAGATACTGGGTGTCTTACACAGAGACATACAAACTTGTTAGAAGGTGTACCGTGACCCAGTGTAAACCTTCTGCCTCCAAACCCAGAGCTCATTTTACTGCATCAGAAGTTATTAAAAATAATTGTTACTTTCATTGCACAATTGCCAGTGATATAGTTTATCACATCCTTTAAATGTCTTTTTGTCAAGAACTTCAAGCTGTGGTTTAGGTCACTGTCTTAGTTATCCAGTGCTGCTCTTACAGAAATACCACAAGTGGATGACTTTAACAAAGAGATACTTATTTTCTCAGTCTAGTAGGCTAGAAGTCCAAATTCAGGGCATCAACTCCAGGGGAAGGCTTTCTGTCTCTGTCGGCTCTGGAGGAAGGTCCTGTCATCAGTCTTCCCTTCGTCTGGGAGCATCTCAGCGCAGGAACCTTGGGTCCCAAGAATGCACTCTGTTCCCCACACTGCTTTCTTGGTGGTATGAGGTCTTCAATTCTCTGCTTGCTTCCATTCCTTTTATCTGTTGTAAGATAAAAGGTGGTGCAGGCCACACCCTAGGAAAACTCCCTTTACATTGGATCAGGGATGTGACTTTAGTAAGGGTGTTACAATCCCACCCTAATCTTCTTTAACATAAAATTACAATCACAAAATGGAAAACAACCGCACAGTACTGGGAATCATGGCCCAGCCAAACTGATACATTTTTTGGGGGATGTAATTCAATCCGTGACAGTTGTTTATGTTACAGATTCTATCTCCATGTAAGCCAGTTGGCAACAGCCATCTTCATTTTCAAGCCAATGAGCCACATTTTACTTTGCCGGGAAGTCTGATTTAATTTTTCAGTTAAAGGAAGTGTGTTCCTTGGAGTTTCAAAGGATGTCATAAACTCCACAGAGGAATGAATTATAGCATATATTTCACAAGCTAAATTACCCAAAGCAGTCAAATTTAAATGTCAAGAGGTCTAATATAATTAATTTATCTTTTTTTATAGTAGGTTATAAAAGCTAGCCAGCCTTTCAGTGTACTGTTTCTCATTACTTAATTTGAAATAAAGCAGTGGTATGTGTACCTAATATTAGGTAATATCACACTATTTATGAAGTGAGGATTATCTTGAAAAACATTGTATTCCTGCAGTAAATATGTATGTTTTATGTATTGAACTCTGGTATTTGGATCTTTTTAATTTATTTATTATTGTAAAAAAATATATATCACAACATTTTCCAATTCAGCGTTTCTCATGCATATAATTTAGTGACACCAGTTACGTTAATCATGTTGTGTAACTATAACCAATAACGGTTTTTTTTTTTTTTTAATGGATTGCTCTTTTGCTGTCATATCTAAGGACTCTTTGCCTAATCCAAGGTCATGAAGGTTTTCTCCTATGTTTTCTTCTAGTAATTTTATAGTTTTATGTTTTAAACTTAAGTCCATTGTCCATTCTGAGCTCATT